GCATAATATAAAAACGCTTGCACATATTTTAATGCATAACCCTGTAAACTTCAAATCAATTTGCCTTTGATTACCAACACAATAGGTTTTGTACAAATATTTTAAAGAGAACATGACATATGTATATCATATTAATGCGCACCCATACACACATACACAGTTATTACCCAGCAGCAGAATACTCAAGGCCTTGTTAAAAAAAGGCCTTTTAAAAGCACTCCATCAGAAGGTGTATAGAAATTCACATGCCTTTTGTTAAAGGACTTTAAAAAGGCCTTTACTAAGAAGGCGTCACTAAAGGAGTTGATGGGCATTGCGTACACGCAAGCGGTGTTCAAATCATATTTGCATGTTTTGTTTTTAAGTATATCTGTTTTTTTTTCGTTTTGGCTTACCTTTGCTTTATTTCGTTGTAGTCTAGACTACTGTCTCTTTGTTAAGTTAAATTATTGCAAGTTATGAAATTCTAACAAAATTAGTCCGTTCGTGAATTCGAAAATATGCTGATCGCGAGTGAAATAATTTGTAAATAGTGCTTAATAAAAGTAATAAAAATATATAAACTTATATTAAAAATAATTAAATAAACTAATTAAAATAAACGAAAAGACAACTGAACCATAAATATTAAATAATAGTGCAAAACAGTGGAAAATTGTACGTAAAAATTGTAACAAAACAATTGTAAGTATACTTTTATACCTGTATGGAATTATATTTAAAGTTGTCATTAGTGCATATTTTTTTCAGTTAGTATTTCTGTTAAAATTAAACAACATATACATTGTCTAATATTGCATTATGTTACAGAAGCTGCAGATACTGAAGTCCTAAGTGAAGAAAATTATAGGACTGACATAAAAAAGGGTCTCAAGGTTCCAAAAAAGCGATATTATAGAGAGGCTTACACCAAAAAAAACAACAAAAGGGATTAACTAGATATAGTTATAAATAGTTTTACAGTATTATTAGTTTAATAATGTTAATTTAAGCTTAAATAAATTTTAGGTATAGTTATAGATAGTTTTATAGTGTTATTAGTTTAAAAAATGTATATATTATTTAATTTATAATAATGTTAATTTAAGTTTAAATAAATTTTAGGTATAGTTATATAGATATAATCATGTTATAATCATGTTAATAATTTAAATTTAAATAAATTTTATTATAATATAAAAGATATTGGAATTTTATTAAATATAATTAATTACAAATACATGCATTTTTTAAAATCTTTTGGCGGCCTTTTCTACGCAGCGAGTGTGTAAGGCCTTCCTCAGAATTTGTGTTGCAGTGCTTTATAAAGGCCTTTTCTACGCAGCGAGTGTGTAAGGCCTTCCTCAGAATTTGTGTTGCAGTGCTTTATAAAGGCCTTTTCTACGTAGCGAGTGTGTAAGGCCTTCCTCAGAATTTGTGTTGCTGTGCTTTTTAAAGGCCTTTTCTACACAGCGAGTGTGTAAGGCCTCCGATATTGGCTCATCCAGAACAAAAAAGAAATAGTAAAAAATACAAGTGTGTAGGTACTACTTACTGCAGAAAAAGGCCTTTAAAAAGACCTTTTTACTCCTTATTTCTGCTACTGGGTAGTGTGCCTACGAATGGAGTCATAGCGGAAAAAAAACATAATTGTGATGAGCGGACGGAGAAATGGCACCAAACATCTTCTATTCCTCATTCTTATTGCACACTCTAAAAGATTTTGTATGAAAGAGTATGTGAGGCAATATTTCTGAAGATGATGCATGGTTTTGTTTTTGTATATTTTTCACAAAATATTTGATTGCTTTTCTGCACATGCAGTGCATAAATTCTTTGAAATTATTACTTCTTATTTTTCAAGCATTTAATTATTGGCGTCGTGTTAGTTGCCTACTTGAGCCCTTGCTTCCCTCTCCCCAGTAGAAAAAGTGGTCTTCGAAGACATTGTCTTCAAGACGGTCTTTGATACCGCGTCCGCATTTTCAAGTAAATTTGCAAAACAATTGCTCAAAACATGAATGTAAATACTCCTTCTTTGCTTTCTCTCTCATTTTTAGTGTTCATAACAACGTATTTGAATTTTGCCTCAGATGACGCTATGTTTTATAAATGAAGTGACGCAATAATTTTGAAGTGTAGTGAAATAAATATTAAAAAAATCAAAATAAATAAAGAAACAAAATCATTAAACTATGAAATATTAAAAAAAAAGAAATTAAATCAAAACAAATTAAATAGTGACTTAGTTCCTGGAAAATATATTGATAATAATATTGAAGACTCCAGTGAAAGTTATTTAAGAAACGAAACAAAGGATGTTGAAAATAAAAAAACTAGAAACGCTTGTGAAAAATTAGCTGTTATATTTAAAAAACACAGGATTAACAGGCGTTGTGGTAATGATATTTTAGAACTCTTAAGATCAGAAGGTTTAATTGTACCAAAATCCTTTTCAACGCTTTTGAAAACATATAAAACTTCAACAATAGATGATAGCGAAATGCTATAAATTATTTTATATTAGTTTTAGTTAATTTTAGATATGCTAAGTTATATTAAGTTAATTATTTAAATTAATTTTCATTATGTTTACTAGTTTTTACTAGTTTATTATTAATATCTTAATAAAATTTATAATAATTTATAATAAAATTTATAATTTATTTTTAAAACTTTTAATTTTGAATGTAATTTAAGAAATTATTATATAAAATAAATAAAAGTACAAAATACAACAATTTCTTTCTACTTATTTAAAGAGAAAATTGAAATTCATTTAAAATTTAAAGAGCGCAATAAAAGAGTAGAAATAAAAAAAGGGTGAAAAAATTATATGAGCACTGCACTAAGAGCGCACAACTTTCTGTCGAATGCGTCCGTTATGCAAGACATGGTCTTCGAGACGGTCTTCGAGACATGTACGCAAAAATTCATTGAAGACATTTGGCTAATTTGTATGAAAGTGTCTTCGAAGACCGTCATACATTTGGATCGATCGGTCTTCATGTATGTATCCATGTCTTGAAGACGTCTTCGATGACGGATCGATCCGTTTTCTACTGGGTCTTGTCCTGTTTACAGTTACAACATGCGTACGGTTGTAGTCATAGACGAAAAAACCAAAACCAAACATGATTTGAAGCGCACAGGGTCATCCATTAAATAAGATGGATTTTATTAATAATATATTATTATTATTTCTTTTATATGTTTATTGTGTTTTTAAATAATTATTGAATACATAATATTTTAATGTATGTTTTATATGTTTATTGTGTTTTTATATTATTTATTTGTGTAATGTTTTTATACCTTATTTATGTAAATACATATGTATGTAAAACAAAAGTTGTATTTGTTATATTTACTTTATTTGTAAAACCGCTAATGTAGAATATTAGCACGTTAAATAATAACTGAAATCAAAAGTAATGATGTGTGCAAAGTAATGATGTGTCATCTAAGTATTATTAAATAAACTAATATCGGTAGAAATTAATTGAAGACTGAACAATATTATTTACATATGTAATTTATACCCATCATCAGTATTCAATATTTTTTATTAGTCAAACATACATGCATATATCCTTCAAACTGAAACTGAAGCTGAATTTTTTAACAAATTTCATTTCATCATTATTGCAATTATTAACAAAATTTGAAGGTACAGTGGTCGTCCAGTATAACGAACGCTCGATATTACGAATTTTCGATATAACGAACACCCAAAATATTTACATTGATTGTTCTATATAACGAACGAAAAAAAAAATTCTGCTCCATATTACGAACAAAAAATTTTTTGTTTCTTATTCGTTTTTGTTTTACACAAATTATGCTTTTGAATATAATTTTACTATAAAACTAGCATTATTCAGCTTAGAATATGCATGTAATTGTCCGTTTTTTTTTTTTTTTCTGAGAAAAATGCCTATATATGGCAAAATGCATATATGCAGGCGCCACTGATCTGTTGTTCACAAATTCAGTTTATCATATACGAAATACTATCCAGACATACATATGTACATATTAAGGTGTTTATATTTAATATGTATTTGTTTGAAAATATCATTTAAAAATTAATTTTGACAAAGCCGGACGTTTAAATCGTTGTGAATTAAATTTTAGTTTTTAAAAAGCTGTTCAGAAAAGTCTTGAGTGTAGTAAAAAACAAACAAAAATTAATGATTTTTTTACTCTACACTATGATTGAATGCGTCCTTTCTTATAAATAATTTTTGTAACAACCGAATAAAAAATACTTTTAAATAAATATATACTCGTACGTGTTTATAAGTTAATTCATGAACTCAAATATATGAAATCTCCTAAAAATAACCATATTGGTAGGTAAATGTATAGCATTCGATATTACGAATTTTTCGATATAACGAACAAGGGGTGCAACATAAAATTCGTTATATTGGACGTCCACTGTAATAGGGTCATCTATTAAAGAATATGGATTTTGACTAAAAAATTTATTAAATAAAATATATGTATGTATGTATTTTACATGACGACTTTGATTTTTTTAACAATATTGACCATGAAATTACGGGACTTTATTTACATCAATAATCTTGTGATTTAAACAAAGTCCCGCAAGCAGAGTGACAAAAAAATTTAACAAAACAAATTTCTAATTGTTGTTCGCATTGCAGTGAAATTTAATAAACATAACTGCATAACATAAAAAATGCGTGTGCAATATTTTCCTTAAATTTGTTTATACACGTCAACAAAAGAAATAGTTACTACAAATTTAACAAATTTTTGCTAGTAACAAAAAAATAATCAATACTAAATTGTTCTTATATTCTTCATTTTATTTATTCTACTCTAAATGATTTTGTATGAAAGAGTATGTGAGGCAATATTTCTGAAAATGATGCATGGCTTTGTTTTTGTATATTTTTCCTAAAATATTTTTCCTGAAATATTCATATATACATATGGTATGTACATACATATATGAATCACAAAAAATCACATTTAACTGATTTGTTTAGAAAAATGAATAAGGATAATAATGGTTTAATACCACGTGCCGAATTCATATATGGAAAAATAAGTACGAGTATTTATATAATGTAGAATAACTAAATAATGTAGAATACCTGTTATTTATTTTTTAAAGAATTTGACACTTCTCGAATGGAAATGGGTGCAGTGGCAGATCTTTTCGATCGTAATGGTGGAGACCCGATTGGCAAGAACGCAAACCAGCAACTGATTCAGATAAAATACATGATGAAGTTAAACGCCTTGTTATCCTTTGCACATGTCGACAAAAATTTCGCGTATTTCAAGTTGGCGAAGGGAAATATAGGGTTCGTAAAATACTAATTATCGGATCTTAAAGCTTAATACTCCATCTTCTATTTAAAACAATATTATTTTTGTATAAAACAGTTTGGCGACTCGACTCTCAAAAATTACGAATATTGCGAATATTGCGTAGCACAGTTATGGTTCGTGTAGGTGGCGGCTGGCTTGCACTTGATGAGTTCTTATAAAAAAATTTTCCTTGTCGCGGTAAGTAAATAGTTAAGAATTTTGTACTTTCTCATATTGAATAAACATAATTAAAATATTCATATGCTTATAATTAAAACATTTCTTTAGCGTAATATAACATTATTATTACATTTACATAACAAGCATTAACATGCTTTCATAGTAAAATTGTACATTGTTCATTTCATAAATCATTTTAGCTGGTTTTAATGACTCGAGTGTTTTATTACAACTCTGCTCTACATAATCTATTTAATCATCCATACGTCAGTGAAAATACATATATATATATATATATATATTGTAGTAATTTAAAAACCGTGTTCTCTTTTTAGACTTGCTTTATTGATTGAAAATATGTTTTTACAAAGTTCATATTTGGAGGAGCAGTGTGCATTAGCATACTGTGAGAATTTGCTGAATTGGCGTCTTCACACGCCAGCCCAAACACTATCGTCAAACGGACGGTAGGGGCTCATATTGCAAGAATGCAATAAAGTTACAATAAATATCAGCATACTTATTTACTCACATAGTGTATGCTTATGCACGCTACACCTCCTGTTTTAAAAAAATAATGTAATAAAATTTTAAACAAAATTTTATGTAATTATTAATAATTGTATATATTAATGTATTATTAATATATTGCTTACATATTGCATATAAAATAATTTTTTTTTTTTTTTATTTAATTACAAATATATTTTCATTATTAAATATAGTATACATATCTACATTCATTCATTCATTCATTCCTTACTATATATATATATATATTATTTGGATTTTATTTTTTATATTTTTTTTTTTAATTAATAATATCGGTTTTAACCTATTTTTGTGCACTTTTTGTGCTTTACCTTTACTATCTACTATAACTACATTATTACCTATTTCCATATCTTTAACTGAATATGGACCTATATATTTATTTTCTAATTTATGACCTACTTCGTTTTTTAATAAAACTTTATCTCCTATTACTAATTGGAAATTATGTACATTATTGTCATAACTAATTTTATTTTTTAATTTTGATTTATCGAGCATTTTTCTTGCTCTTTCATGAACTACTTCTAATCTGTATTTGCTTTCTTTAGCATAATCATCTATATTGTATAGTGGATCTATATTACCACTATTGAAATCATAGAATTTTCTTGGAATACGTCCATACAGGAGTTCGTAAGGACAGTATCCATGTGCTAACGATGGTGTTGTGTTGAAGCAATACGTGAAGTATTTAATCCAAACATCCCAATCATCTCTATTGACAGAGATGTAAGATCTTATATATTCATTAAACGTGCGGTGACTGCGTTCTACAGTACCTAGCGTTTGATGATGGTGGGATGTTGATGTAATATTCTCGATATTGAGATATTTACATAAATCGTTCATAATTGAATTTTTGTACTCTGTACCCATGTCAGTTAGAAACCGTTTCATGGGTCCGTACTGTAAAATAAAATTTTCGAAAATTGCTTTCGCTATAGTCTTGGCACTTTTATTTGGAACTGGAATAGTTACCAAATATTTTGTTAGGTCACATATTAATGTGATTGCATACTCATTGCCGTTCTCCGTTTTTGGGAGTGGACCAATGGTATCTACTAACACAGTGTCAAATGGAGACATAGGCGTTTGCACTTTCGTTAAAGGCATTTTCGTATGTCTAGTTGTCTTGGCCAGTTGACAACTTAGACATTTTTTTACGTACTTGGTAATAGTTCTTGTCATGTTTTTCCAGTAGAATCTTTGTTTTATTTTAGTCAATGTTCTGGTAATTCCAGTATGACCTCCTTCTGCTGGATCATCATGATATTGGTGAAGAATAGCTTCAATTGCCGACTTATTATTTTCGTTTATCTTTGTCACCTGTGGTAATAGCGCTATTTGAAGATTTGTTAATGTTTTGTTGCCCATTTCTTTAAAAGAATTTAGCGATACAGATTTAAAAATCTTTTCGCAAGGTGCCATTTGTAAATGTTTAATTTTTAATTCACCGGCTTGTTGATCAAGCCTTTGGAATAGCAGACCTAGGTCTAAATTTCCATTAGTGATTAAATCATTAACATATATGTGTTTTAAAATTCTTTTCCCATGCTTCAAGAAACAATTGTGGGATGATAATTTTAATTTTACACATTTTTTAACGTCGTTACTACTAACGACTTCATAAACTTTGGGCTTATCATGATTTTGATGTGTCGGTCTTATTAAATTTGTGTCTGCGCAGACTTTTTGCGTATTCTTCCTTGTTTCAGCTCTCGTTGTAACTTTCAGTATAGCTGAATTTGTGTGTTTCTGGTCCTTCAATTCATTTATGGTTATCCGAGACAAAGCATCGGCTACTGTATTTTGTTTCCCCCTGAGAAACTCCACTGTGAAATCGTATTCCTCTAAATCAAGTCGGATTCTTGTTAGCTTGGAATTAGGATTTTTCATTGAAAACAGATAAGAGAGTGGTCTATGGTCTGATTTTACTAAAAAATGTGTTCCGTATATGTACGGTCTAAAATAGTTGATTGCCCAATGAATTGCTGTTAATTCTTGTTCCGTAGTAGATTTATTACTTTCTCCCTTAGTGAAAGTTTTTGATGCGAAAGCGACTGGTAGTTGGTGTCCATCGTATTCTTGACTGAGTACAGCACCACAAGCGTGCTTACTAGCATCGGTGGTAATACAAAAAGATTTGCTGAAATCGGGGTATTGAAGTAATGTTGGTTGCATTAATGCATTTTTTAAATACTGGAATGAATTTTCACATTCCTTTGACCATTCGAATTTAACATTCTTTTTACAAAGTTTGGTTAAATGACGTGAATAGTCAGAAAAATTTTTGACAAACCTTCTATAGTAGTTACAGAAAGCAACGAACCGTCTAACGCTGTCAGCGTCTTTGGGTGTTGGATAATTTTTAATAATATCATACTTGCTTTCGTCAGGTAAAATACCTTTGTCTGTGCATTTGTGTCCAAGATAAGTCACTTCATGCATAAAGAAACTACATTTTTCAGGATGTAATTTGAGATTGTATTTTCGACAAAGTTCGAATACATCCTTAAGGTTTTTAATCATGTGTTTTTCAGAACATCCGACAACAACAAGATCATCCATGTAAAGAAAAGCTTGCGAAGGCTTTAAGCCTGAAAATGCAAGTGTCATCATGCGCTGGAATGAATTAGGCGCTATTTTAAGTCCATATGGTAATCGTTTAAAACGATATGAGCCATTGCTCGAAGAAAAGGACGTTATGTTTCTTGAATATTTATCAAGTTCAATCTGGTGAAAACCAGACATTAAATCAATACATGAGAAGTATTTGGCACGTCCCAGTTGATCGAGAATTTCTTCGATTCTTGGGAGTGGGAATGTGTCAGCAATTAGTTTTTTATTAACTTGGCGATAATCTACTACTAAACGCCATCTTTTATTATTCGAGTTTGGAAGAGATTTTTTTGGAACTAGAAGTAAAGGGCTGTTATAAGGTGAAATGGATGGTTCTACTATGCCATCATCAATTAATTTATTCACCTGTTTAGTTATCTCTTCTTTATGGGAGTGGGGTATACGATAATTTTTTATGTATACTGGTTTTCTATCTTCCATTAACAATTTTTGTTTGTAGAAGTTATTGTGGGTTATTGGTTCAGACTCAAGTCCAAAAATATCAGTATATTGGGAACATAACTCGTACAATTGAGAATTGAATTGTTTGGGGAAGTTTTTTTTTAGATTATTTAAAACTTCTTGACTTCTATTATTTTTTGTTTGTGTGTGTGTAAGTATGTTATAATTTAATAGACTTTCTGACTTTATGTCATTATGTTTTAAACTTGTATCTTTATTAGTACTATTTATGATGCGTATAAATGCATTATTAGAAGTAACAATTGCGTTTGCAATGTAAATACCTGGCATTGGTTCTTGACTGTGTACTAGAACTTCATTTTCAGAGCAATTAAGTTTAATACATTTAATTGTTTCTGATCTTGCGGGTAAAAGAATTGTATCATTTGTATTATTAAAAGTAGAATGTTCAATAGGTATTGATATATCTGTAAAAAAATTATCGGGTCTTAATGTAAGTGAATTTTGATTATGTTTGAAATCTAATATACAATTATATTGTTTTATAAAATCTAATCCTAGTATACCATCACAAGGAATTGGGAAACTTTCATGAACCACCTGAAATTTGTGATTTAGTAGAAAATTATCAATTCTAAGGTCAAGATTAGTTGATCCTATAGTGTGTATTGTTCCCTGGCCAATACCACTTAGAATTGTAACAGTTTCTGTATTTACATTACTGTAAATAGTGTGAGACTGTTTTATTACTGAAATGTCGGCACCAGTGTCTAATAGAAGAGTTATTGATTTATTTGCATCATTATTATAAATTTGTATTAAAAGGTTTAAATTTGGATTAAAATTATAGATTTTATGATGTTTGTATGGGTTTGGGGGGGTAATTAGTTTTCCGAATTTTGTTGTATTACGCGTATGTTATTACGCCCTTGTCCACGTGAGGTATTAAATGTACTGCCTCTACGGGGGTATCTATTGTTTTGATATTCATTACCATATGATTGAATATCTTGATTATTATTTCTGTGGCTATTTCGTTGATTGCTGTTATTGCCACGGCCTCTACGACGGTTGTAATTTCCGCGGTAGGTGTTTCTGTTATTTATTCGCGAGTAATATAGAATTGCGTCCGGTCTTCCATGCATTTCTGTACAGCAGTTGACATATTTTGATACAGCTTCATTCAGTGAGTTGAATGTGCCTGCTTCCATTATAGTTTTCAACCTGTCATTAGTACAATTTTTAGTCATCGAAGATATAGCTTCTTTCCGACTAAATGTTTCTGCATTGTCCGCATCTACGCCATTATCTATGTATGCACCCTCAAGAGCTTGACATAGATTATTGATTTCGGCAGTATATTGAGTAGCCGTTTTGCCTCGTTGTTGAATATTCATCAACTTGGCCTTTATGACGTCGATTGATTCTCCCTTGACGCATAGAGATAATTTTGTTATTATTCCCTGTATAGTTTCCTCGTCTTTCACCCTATACAGTATGGGTCCTGTTATCTTTGATTTTATAACTTCCACAGCAAGGTCTTCCTGTGTACCTTTGGTGCGGTCTATCAAACGTAATGCTCTAATGAATCTTTCCAAGTGTTGTTTTTTCCCGTCAAATTCTGGAACTGCTATGGCGGTTTCCTTTATGTATGCTCTGTCGAGCTCTACTTGTGC